GCCTGACACAAAGGCTACTGTTAATCGTTCATATTGGCAAGGTCATGATTGCATGATCTTCATTAAAAATTATAATGTACCTGCACTGGCAAAAAAAATTAAAAAAATCTGCTTTACAACCTTGGGTCTGGAAATACCACAAAAACCCCTAAAAAAAGTTTGCGCACGAGTTAAAGAACCTAGTGTGATAGCGTTGAGCTACGTCACACGTAGGCTCACTATTGGCCGACGCTGGTCATGTGGGTGATGCGTGTGACGTACAACAACAGAAGCTTACGCTATAATACTAGTGAACTGACTCGAGGCCCACATAGAAGGAAATTAATCGTTATTTTTGTTTGTTTTTCGCATAAAAAGTATTCTCGTCGTTTGATAAACTAAAGATTGAGCCACTGTAGTCACTTGGACTATTTTAACAATGTCTTTAATAACTTTTCGGGGCTGGCAAGTTTCAATCCCTGAAGAAGCCTATGGAGGAGTGATCCAGCTCTCAAATCTAATCAAAAATATCTTAATTCGTGTTCCGAAGATGAACAAAGGTCTTACGGGATTGGAACAACATGAGGGTGAGTAAATTTCAGAATTTTCATTTTTGGGTGAACTAACCCTTTAAACTTTGCGAATGACACCACAGGCAGCACTTTTCACAAAGTTCACCGTATCTCCAATATTGTAAAGGAAAGCGTCACTTGCAAAGATTCTCAGGGAAATGCACACAGTTTGTGCTGTTGTTAAACCCCGATTTCAAACATTCGAACAAATAAATGATGCAAATGACACTCTCACAAGTCACGAGAAAACCAATCTCTCAAAAAGTAGCCTACACTATCGCGCCGCGCTAAAGGACTTCCCAGATAGGGTTGCCAACCTTTCCGTATAATACGGAATCGTTCCGTATTTGACACTGTTACGCGTGTATCACGAACGCCTGGCCTGGAGTCCTCTAATTAAGGTTTATTATGTTAATTATGTTAATGTTGTCTTGTTTCCCTTTTCTTAGTTTTGATTGGTGGTGCTTTGGAAGGACTGGAGATAAAACGGAAGGAGATGTCCTTGGGAGGGGACTCGCTCATCGCCGTTTTCGCCATTGTTTATTGTTTTGAACTTGAGTTGGGAGCGGGGAGTCTCAGCTGTGGGTTGTATTTCCGTTTCCCTTATTGCTGAGCTCCCCGTCTCTCATTTTCTGGTTAATTTGTGAGTCGTTTGAGTTATAATAAACACTTATTTTTGGATCACGCACGTCGTTGTCGATCTTTTATGTTATGTGTCCCTGAATCCTAGACTTATGTTTTGTGGGACCGTAACAGACACATAAACGGCTTGTTCCGTATTGAACTGATACGGAACGCACTTTGTTCCGTATTTTTGAGAATCAATTCAGTGTAAATCCATGACAGACGCATAGCTTCTAATAGGACTATGAACGAAGACCCGCTGCTATAATGGCAAATTCGGGGACTTGGCGCCCCCTCGGCGGGCTCTGACGTGTAATGACGTAGAGTTGGTTCATTGGTCGCACGTCAGAGGCGCCTGCGCCATTGGATGTGCAGTTGCCGCAGCGCAGCCTATGAGCGAGCCAGACGCTCTGCAGCATAGATATACACACGGCTGTGCAGCTGCAAATGCGTTTTACAGGCTTCAGTAAATCGAGTAAAATGAGACATTTGTAGGCTATGATAAGAAAAACTACTAAATTAAAAATATTATTTTTTGCACTGGAAAGAACATTCTAGAAGTCTAATTCTATTGAATAAGTTCGCACAAGGCTACAGAAAACTGATGTGTTTATTTTTCTTCAAATGCAGTCTAAGCCGATGAGTTTTGAATGTTATATATTGTATTTGATTAAGTTAAAAATAAAACGTATTACAAACTAAACAAATACATGGTCCATTTTTGGCAAAATGATCATGATAGCCTTTATATATAAAAACCGTTTCTACAGTTTTTGATTATTCGGACGTTTTGCTGGACATTCTCGTCGGAGGGGCAGCGGTGTTGTTCAAACGCGCATTCAGACGCAAACGCGGGAAGCGTGCCGGCGCGCTGGTTAAACTCTGCGAGCGCGTCCTGCGCACTGCACTCCCCAGTATTCATCTCGCGAATCTCCGATCCCTTCCTAACAAAATGGATGAACTTCATCTCCTCACCCACACTGACAAGGATTTTTTTAACTCTGCTGCTTTGTGCTTCACTGAAACCTGGCTGAGTGAAGCCATACCGGACAACGCAATACATCTGCCGGGCTTCCAGCTGTTCCGAGCGGATCGCATCGCGGAGCTAACGGGGAAAACGAGAGGTGGTGGATTGTGTTTCTACATTAACGAAAGTTGGTGTTCAGATGTAACAACACTGAAGAAGATGTGCTCTCCTAATTTAGAGGCACATTTCATAAACTGTAAACCCTTCTACTTGCCTCGGGAATTTTCCTCTTTCATTCTCGTGAATGTTTACATCCCTCCAGACGCGTGTGTGAGCGCGGCGCTACAACAGCTGGCTGAACAAATAGCTGTAACGGAACAAAGGTACCCAGACTCTCTTTTAATCATTCTTGGGGATTTTAACAAAGCAAATCTTTCCCGTGAACTACCAAAATACAGACAGCACGTTGCATGTCCAACCAGAGACAGTAATATACTGGACCACTGTTACACCACAATAAGAAATGCGTATCACTCGGTCCCACGGGCAGCTTTGGGGCTCTCTGATCACTGTTTGGTTCATCTCATACCGACCTACAGGCAGAAACTGAAATCAGCTAAGCCTGTAATAAGGACTGTAAAAAGATGGACTAATGAAGCAGAGCAGAATCTACAGGCCTGCTTTGATTCCACTGATTGGACTGTTTTTGAAGCTGCTACCAACGATCTGGATGAGCTCACAGATACTGTAACATCATATATAAGTTTCTGTGAGGATACATGCATTCCTACCAGGACATTCTTATCATTCACTAATGATAAACCATGGTTTACTGGGAAACTCAAACACCTTCGTCATGCCAAAGAGGATGCTTACAGAAGTGGGGATAAAATCTTGTATAACCAGCCCAGAAACAGATTGACAAAGGAGATCAGAGTTGCTAAAAGGAACTACTCTGATAAACTGAAAAAACAGTTTTCATCCAACGACCCATCATCAGTCTGGAATGGCCTGAGGAACATCACCAACTACAAGTCACCATCCCCCCGATCTGTGGACAATCAACACCTGGCTGACGATTTAAATTCATTTTACTGCCGGTTTGAAAAGCCCTCATTCACACCACACACCCGGTCTGATCTGCACTTCACACATTCACCATCACCTCCTGCACTCCCACTCCCCACTCCCCACTCCCCCACCAGCACTGGCGCCCCCCAAGGGTGCGTTCTCTCCCCACTGCTCTTCTCCCTGTACACAAATGACTGCACTTCTAAAGACCCCACTGTCAAGCTCCTGAAATTTGCAGACGACACCACTGTCATCGGTCTCATCCAAAACAGTGACGAGTCTGCTTACAGACTGGAGGTTGAACAGCTGGCTGTCTGGTGCAGTTATAACAACCTTGAGCTGAACACGCTCAAAACAGTGGAGATGATCGTGGACTTCAGGAGGAACAGCCCAGCACTCCCCCACTCACCATCATGAACAGCACTGTGGAAGCAGTGGAGTCATTCAGGTTCCTGGGCACTATCATCTCTCAGGACCTGAAGTGGGACAATCACATTGACTCCACTGTGAAAAAGGCCCAGCAGAGACTGTACTTCCTTCGCCAGCTGAGGAAGTTCAACTTGCCACAGGAGCTGCTGATTCAGTTCTACTCAGCCGTCATTGAGTCTGTTTTATGCACTTCCATCACTGTCTGGTTTGGTTCAGCTACCAAATCAGACATCAGGAGACTACAACGGACAGTCCGGACTGCGGAGAGGATTATTGGTGCCCCCCTGCCATCCCTCCAGGACCTGTACTCTTCCAGAGTGAGGAAGAGAGCAGGTAAAATCATCTCAGACTCCACTCACCCTGGACACCTCCTGTTTGATCTGTTACCGTCAAGACGGCGACTCAGATCACTGGCCACTAGAACATCTCGGCACAGGAACAGTTTCTTCCCACAGGCCATCTCCCTTCTGAACAGTTAACATATCTCCCAAGGCATATGCCTGTAAGTGCAATACTCCCACTGTTTAGTGCAATATCTTAAAAATTCAGGTGATATTTATATTTATTCATACTATACAAAATCATTATCTGTAAATGTATATGTGCACTGGAAGCCTCAGTACCAAGGAAAATTCCTTGTGTGTGCAAGCACACTTGGCAATAAAGCTCTTTCTGATTCTGATTATATATCTGAGTGGTTAAGTCTTGTATATTGATTAAGCCTATTTTTGTGCAACTTATAAAAATATAAAAAAATATATATAATGCTACTTTGCCTAATAAGTTGTATTATAATATGCTATAAAATGTATGAATTTCAGGGGTTATTTTTCAAATGTTTCTTTTGGGGGCATGTCACTAACCCCCCTCCCCCCCTGCACATGCACTGATACTAAGCAGGACATTTTACAGTGTTAAAATCTGTTTTGTTTTGTAAAACACTGAGCTACATGTGTGCAGGAAAGAAGCTATGAATAAAGTTTGTGTTGTCGTCAGTACTCTCTGGTGGATTACTGGTGATACTTTATATGTTATGCACCTTTATACTTGTACTACTCTACATCTCAGAATGTGTTGTACTTTTAGTTTTCAGTGACAACAACATTCTATTCTTGGATACTTGAGAGAAACTAGCCTACTTTCATCTTTACAAAATAAACAGTATTAATATTATGTTTTGTTCCAGTTCAAGGCAGCTGTTATTAACAGGGGGAGTCTTTTTGGCTTTCTTTCGTCACAGAGTTGTGAAACCATTACTTGCCCATTTTTGGTCATGTCTATCTTCGACAACCACCTCTTCCGTATTAAAGGACACTAACGACATGTTTTTCTGTATCTTACACCCACATTTTCACTTCCTTAATTGCTTCTTAAGTGTACTGTACCGAGATCATGTTGTCCCATTGACGGGTCTTTCTGCTCGACTCCACAAGTTGCCAGAGATTATCTAACAGCTGTGTCTCCAGGTTTCTGCTTTGGTGGAAGATGGCAATGATGGTCGTTTTGGCGGCAGTGCTTCTCACTTATGGACTCTCTACAGGAATTGCAATGGTAGGGTTGCTTCATTTTTACTGCTGTGCACTAACATCCGTAAGATGACCAGAAAACAAGATTAATGTTCTCAAAATGTCTATTATTTCTTTGAAGGAGACAGGTAAATCTGGTGCTGTAACTGAGGCTAGAGCTGGGGAAAACAGTGTGCTTCCACTGGACATGGCTGAAAACTCTGTTGACGACATGTACAATACGTGCGATGTCAAAATGAAGGAGAGGGTAAAAGAAGACCTGGAGAATGAGAAGAACAAAGACAAAACCTTCAAAGAGGTCTGGGACAGCTCAGAGAAAGTGGTCCACGAAAAATTTAAGAATGTCAAATATCTAGGAAAAGATCAGATTGTAGCTATTTATTATTACACCTCTGGCAAAGACGATGCGTATCGTAATTTCAACGCTGCAGTTCGAACCCAGAGACATCAGTACGAGACCACATTCGGGTATCACGCGCTTCACTTTCTCCTGACTACTGCCATTCAAGTTGAAAGAGCCTTTGAGGAAAAACTAAAAAAAAAAAAACTATGTCTCACTGGCTACCGTAGAGTCGACGAGTACTTTAACCAAGATGTTAAAAACACAAAGTTTCGCTTTGGCTCTTTCACCTCAGCCTCCCTGGGTAATTACGGCAAGAAATTGTTTGGAGACAAGTCATGCTTTGAGATTTTCACGTGCATGGGAGCAGATGTCTCTCTCTATTCTAAATTTGAGAACGAAAAAGAAGTGCTGATTCCTCCCTATGAGGTCTTTAAAGTCGTAGAGATAAAGAAGAGGGTGGGGTCAGAGCTTCCATGTGAGGTGGTCTATAAAGTGAAGAGTACAGAGACTCCTGTTTCCAATTTGAATTGTGCTCTTTTTCCAAAGTAAACACTTTCACATGTTTTACATACAGTTTACAAAACATGTAAAATTTAGGATGCACCATTTTAAATACTGCAAATGATCTTTAACCAAGATTAATGTGAATGTGGATTTATTTGTTAACAATGACATTTGTCAACAATCTCAAATTGAGGTGTAGATTTTTTACAGTGCAACAAGTGTTTAAGATAAATATACACTAGCTGCATAAAAATTAACCCTTACAGTTGTGTCATTGTTAAACTGGATCTGAATTAAAATGTTTAAATGAATAACAAGAATTTAAATGTTGTACTACATTGTATTATTGCCCATGTCATCTGTATTTAAATTGAATGCATATCCTGTCCAATATACAAAGTTACTGTATGAAAACTGTCTTAAAAAATAATTAAACACGCTCGTGTTTCACAAGTTGTGCATGTTTATCGAATGTTTAAACACCTCGGTGTCTAACAGCTAAAACAGGAGAAGCTCTGAGTTCATCAAAAAGTTCACATGTTGATGAGTCTCCTGTCATAAAGCTTGATTGTGTCCAGTCAGATTTCTGAGAGGACTGTCTGTATGTTTGAATGGTCTTTGATGCTTTTAGGTTGTAGTAAGTCCTCCTCTTTACAAATTGATGATATTTAGTTTTGTACATGGAGAGCAAATAGTTTAAGATACTGCGCGCAAAAAGAAATGAACTCGTATTAAAGACTGACTGTAAAAAGACAGATGGAGCTGGAGCCAGAACACATGGCTTTTAAACACTAAAACATATTTAATATTTAACTGCACTTTGCTGGAAACTGCATTTAAAACACCTTTAAAAAGGCATTAGTGAGGTTGCATATCATCTGATGTGTTCAGTTCGAGCTTTTCTCAACAGTAGGAGACTTTTTGTCTCTCTTACATGGAGCGCTGCCTGCAAATTTGCTTTGAATGTAAATGTGATTTGAATGTGTACGCTAAGCTTGCAGAACTGAAGATAAGACCTCATGGTCACTGTCATGAACCAGCTCAAAGATCTGACAACACAAAGGAAACCACACATAATTAAGAATTGGTGCAGATTAAGAGTCCATCTTTACTGGTAAAAATTACAATATACTCAAAAGACCAGCTCATTTTAAACATCCAAAAGCGTCCATTCCTTTTCTACACCCGCTATTTTCCCTATTACTAAACTCTGAACTAAAGACAGAGAACATGTTATTTTCATGTGTGATTAAGATGTTTTAGCGGTGAGGAGGAAGCCAGCAGATAAACTCAGACTGAGCAGCCGAGGTCTGTGTTATCAGGAAGTTGCTTCATAAGTGACACCCATCAACTAATTTTACGTGTGTGTGTGTGTGCAGGGCCGGCGATTGCTATAGGAGAACTAGGCGGTTGCCTAGGGCGACAAATGTGTTGGGGGCGCGGGCGCCCTCTAGTGTCGCCCTTGGCCTATTTCCCACAGAATTAGAATGACAAGCGAAACATGTTTATTAAACATGATCATCCTAAGGCGCCCCTCAGCCATACGTTTAATTACTTGTCAACCTGATTATTAGATTGAATGGATGATTATTGTTGATCATTTCCTAAAGGGCGGGGCGGGGGTTAGTTGCGTTATGTTACGTTCTATGGTTACGTTAGGGGGCAAAACTCAATAGGCAACCAAAGGGTTAGAGCCAGCCCTGTGTGTGTGTGTGTGTGTGTGTGTGTGTGTGTGTGTGTGTGTGTGTGTGTGTGTGTGTGTGTGTGTGTGTGTGTGTGTGTGTGTGTGTGGATTCAAATTTCTTATGAAATAACAACTATTTTTGTTTGTCCACACAGCCCCCCATGAAGATTAACCTGAACTGCAGTGAAAAGACCAGATCATTAAAACATATCTGCATTTTAGAGTTTATAAGACATCTCAACTGATTTTCCTCCCTTTTACATAAGCATGTAAGAAAACAAACATTTTAAATGATATTAAAGACATGCACTGAGACTAAGCAGGACATTTTACAGTGTTAAAATCTGTTTTGTTTTGTAAAACACTGAGCTACATGTGTGCAGGAAAGAAGCTATGAATAAAGTTTGTGTTGTCGTCAGTACTCTCTGGTTGATAAACAACTTCTAAATGACCTCAAACACATCTCTGTCAAAGTTAAGGTACTTGTACTTTATTTTGCATGTTATGCACCTTTATACTTGTACTACTCTACATCTCAGAGATAAATGTTGTACTTTTAGTTTTCAGTGACAACAACATTGTATAGGGACTGATATTGTTTTAGAATACTATTCGCCTTATTCACCTGGCGGCCATTTTGAAAATTCGAACGCCGTTGAGGGGTACACAAACCCGGAAGTTTGACTCCAACGCAGCAGCACCAGCAATGGAAACTCCAGTGTGGACCACCAATCTTAGAGTGTGACAAAATCACAATGTTGTGTTTTATTGCGAGTGTACAAATATAAGTAAACACTTTGCAGTTTGAATGATGTCCTCTATGATCAAAATGACGTAGTATACAGAGCCGGACAGTAACGGAGTACATTTACTCGAGTACAGTACTTAAGTACAATTTTGAGGGATCTGTACTTTACTCGAGTATCATTTTTGGGGAGTACTCATGACTTTACTCAAGTACATTTGAGAGGCAAATATTGTACTCTTTACTCCAATACATTTCTATCCATAACCGTGAGTACCCGAGTAAAAAAAAAAAAAAAGTAAAAAAAAAAAAGAAAAATCTCGGAAACCCTCAATTTGTTGTTTCCCTCTTAAACGTGATTGGATTGTGCAGGCGCCACTGATTGGGACAGCCTATCAGCAATCACTTTCAGCTTTCCGCCAAAGTCAACTCCATGGTCAGATTTTATATTACACATTAATGTAAGCAAAGCATTTGGTTTGATGTTCTTGAGTATGTGGTGTGTTTAACACAGTCAGGTTCAAATGTGGCAGTGGCGTACACGAGGGATTTCTGATTTCTTAAAAAATAAACTTTAGGAGGCAAAATATATTTTTACTGATTATGTGAATTACACTGCGCAAACCAAAGTAGGCTACTACCCAGCGAATGAAGAAGGGTTGGCGCTCAGTCTCCACAGTACATAAAATATTAATTTTGTTTTATTTTATTTTTCGGGTTTGCATTTATGAGGAAAAAACAATGTTATGGACGTGTTCTCCGTTACGGACGTGAGCGCTCTGAAAACGGCATAAAAAATGCTTTAAAACTTTCACAGAGACCTCAAACAGAAAACACAAAACCTTTCTTTAACCTGAATTTCGTTTTGCATTAATTGTATCTTAATTTTAATCAATGTTTCATCAACCAATTGCCTGGGTTTAATAAATAAGAAGTAAATAGCAGACGATAGATAAGAAACGGAGGCGCCGGCCTGTGAACTGGATCTCGTCTCATAAATGAACCAAAACTGAGTGTATAAGGTAGCCTACTTGCCGCTCACAGATATGTCTACTTTTAAACAGAAAAATTCAAAACGAAAGAAAACAGACTACAGACTGCTCTCTGCTTATGTAATCCGTATGAAATGTGCATTTCTCTCTGGCGCGTTCACTACTGAAGATCGCGAGTCAGCATCGTCAACTTCATCTAGCCGACACTGACAAAGAAAACACTTGTTTATTAACAAGTGTTTATTAATAAACAATTAAAATATCTCCTTGCTATATTTTACATATTCATAATCATTCCTTTTGCCGGTTCTTTGTGACAGCTTTTAGGTGTTTTATTGGCAGCGCCACCCTTACATGTGGTGTGTGTGTGTGTGTGTGTTGTCCCCGCATTTAAAGATGGGACCCCCCAAAAATTTAATTAAATGAAATAAAGCAACATGGTAAAAAGATGAAAATGACTTGATTTTACTTTCAATTCCTTTTATATTCTCCAAGGTATTAACATTAACATTTTTCATAACTCCACGTAGGACGTTTCTGTGCATAAATGTAAGCACTGTGGCAGTAGATTAGTAATGCAATATTTAGAAAATCTACTCTTGTACTCTTGATACTCAAGTACTTTTAAAAACAAGTACTTTAGTACTTTTACTTAAGTAGACATCTGACTGTAGTACTTTTACTTGTACTTGAGTAAAATTTAGCAAGGGGTATCTGTACTTTTACTCAAGTAACAAAGCTCTGTACTCCGTCCGCCTCTGGTAGTATATTTCTATGTTTCCACTGTTCGATCGCGCACGCGTGTCTCTCTCTCTCTCTCTCTCTCTCTCTCACACACACACACAGATCGCGCCCGCTCCCCTCTCTCTCTCACACACACACAGTTCGATCAGTAAATTAGCTTCCATACGTACCTTCAATGTCGTGGATAAAACCTTCGTTCCAGTTACTGTATCAGCCTGGGGGACGTTGCAGTCAGTACTGGCCCACTGCTCCACATTTTGTACTGTTAATTTGGGCAGACAGGAAAGATTGGTGGTCCACACTGAAGTTTCCATTGCTGGTGCTGCCGCGTCGGAGTCAAACTTCCGGGTTTGTCTACCCCTCAACGGCGTTCAAGTTTTCAAAATGGCCGCCAGGTGAATAAGGCGAATAGTGATAGGCTATATTATTGGCAATGAATAAAGAGCTGTGGATAGCTTGCTAGGTTAACTATTTCTTGTATTTCGCTCTCTCACTCTAGCTAGACTATTGTTTTTTCTATAGGAAACCTAAATATCCCGTTTCCTTTACCTCAAGAAAACTAAGCTAAAGGTAAACAGGTCACTAAAAACAACTTACAATTTCACTCTGTATCACTCACTACGTGTAATCAATCTTCCTTCATTCATCTGTGTGTGTCTGCGTGCGTGCGTGTGTGTGTGTGTGTGTGTATGCAGTAGCGAGTTCAGAACAAAGAGTAGCGACAAGACGAATCCTCCAGTTACTTGCAATGCTCCGGTCTGCAACGCTCTGAAAGCTGCCCGTTTGCGGTGCATCATCTTGATAACACAACTACTCTTTGTACTTACGACTTTTCGGCTATTTTGTAGCTCGATATATATCATTTGCTGCGTCTAATATGAATCAAAAGATCAGATTTTAGCTATTTATTATTACCACCCAGATAGCATACATATCCGGGCCTCATCTGGACCAACTATGGCACATGTGGCTCAGTTCTGGCAGCAGCAAAGGTTATATGGGCCGTATCTAGCCCACACACATCAAGCCGGTTTTAGTGTGAGATGTGGCTTGCTGTGTGTGGGCCAGATCTGGCCCGTGTGCGACAAACCAGCTTTAGGATTGTTGTGTTTGGGCCAGATATGATATTTAGTATGATATTAACTCTCTGGGGACCAAGAACGCATCGGTGCGTTTTGGCAGATTTTTTTCACATAGCAGAAAAATAGACTTAAACTACTCCATCATTTCTGGTCATACAGAGTTATGAAACATATAAAAATAAACTGTTAAATGTCTACTT